TTACTGACAAACAATGCATTTGTGTGCTGTGTACGAAATATGAACATAGAAACCACAACATTGTATCAGCTGCAGCACAGAGGACAGAGAAACAGGTATTTAAAACTAGTGATCAAGTTAATACTCAGTGCAGTGATCCAATAGTCTGTTAATTTTCAGTGTAGAGCCGCAGCTTAATTACACAGAGCTTCACACTGACAGTGTTTCTGTGTTCTATGTCAGTTTCACTTTTACTATACATATGCTTGCGGTGTGAAACAAGCCTTAATCTTCATGATAATTCATGTATGATTATTGTAACCAATCATCACTTCTGGATTTTGAACCTACAGCCATTATTTATCAGCTCCACTTTTACTGGATTCATCTGTTCACATGATGATTTAGTGCCAGTAGTTTTCTGTGACGTTCACTATCATCCGTTTGTCCTGCTGAGCAGATCCTGCTGTGACAGAGACTCACAGAGAAACATTCTTAGTGTCTTATTATATAATCATCAGTCAGACTCTCATCAGATCATCTTCTTCTGAAAGAGACGCTGTTTTCAGCTCTGGAAATCTCTTAGGAATAATTTCTCTGAGCTCTTTCTTCTGGAAGATATATTTAGCTGTCAAACACCAGTAGCACCACCAACAGTTCAAAACTTCACTAACATTTCAGCTTTTTACCTAATTTTTCTTTATAAATTATGTCATGGTGAAATCAGTCAAAAACTCGATAGTACCAGTTCTGAGTATTGTTCATCAAAATTAAATTAGGTGATCCTCAAACATGATGAAACTGATTTTTATTTGCCTGTAACACATTGATGAATTTGATCATGAAGTCCCCAAACATGAAGTCAGGCTGTATATTAGCAATCAGCCCATCAGGATTTCAGGGACGTATTTTTGGCTTATAATGACTGAATTTGTTGCAGCTTTTTTCAAAAATTGTGGCAATACTTACAGGATTTTCAATGTTGTTTTCTAGTGAAAAACCACCAAGAAACATGATTTATGTAATTAGTGGCAGTGACAGTAAGAATACAATTACATGTAAATACTTCTGTGTATAAGTACTGAAATTGTGTTTCTGTCAATGGTCAGACAGCATAGAAATATTCATAATTCTGCTTTGCTGAAAATACAGAACTGAGTTAGACACAATAGTTTGAACACTGTCACTTTATCAGTATGTAATCAGTCAAACTATTTCATGTTTTTGCAATTTAACAATTATAATGATTTATTGTGTAATATTGTTTTTGCTTTTTATAGTGATTATTAGTGATTGCATACACTAGAGATATTTTTAAAAAGTGCTTATCCAGTAAAATATTGTACTTCTTTAACTCTAATGTAAGCTACTGGTGAAATCATGTATTATGGGGACTAGAAAATATTTGCCCCAATATACATTATTCAGTATTCCATACAGTAATTTAATAGTAGCCTTCTTTAAAGCTCTAGTCTAGAAATGTTAATTTTGTCCCACATGCTGAACACAGAAATATAAATATGGCATGAACACCAGTGGCGCCTGCAGGTGTTTGGCTGTATGCACTGTGAGTACCATGAGCGCTCAGACTGACCTGAGATTTGCCCCGCAAACATTTCAGCAGTTATTATAGGCCTGTGTGTCCCGAATTTCTGTCGACTGAACCAGCCATGCCATTAATTATGAATTTATCAGTCTTTTGCATGCCAAAGTCAATTTCTGCATATAGCCTAAATATTACGCCAAACAGAAGCAGAAAATTGTGCTATACGCACTTTCATGTGTCGGGTTAGCCTACAGCAATTAATTTGTAGGCTATTTTACAAATGGAAATACAACGAATTCATGACAATGTTTTACATTCAAGCTACCCGTAAATTATTTATAATGTATAGTGAAAAGTTCTTTAAAAGCGTCTGGAATGCAATAAAGTAATTTTTTTAAGCCATTTTTAAAGCATTTTCTGCATGGATTCAAAAAATAGGCTAATAAATAATTCACATATCAGACAAAATTGCGTTGCAGCAAATCTTTTAAATTTTAAGGTATTCAGAACAGAGCAACATAAAAATCTGAAAATATAAGCAGCTACACAATTATAAGACAACGTTTTACATATATGCCATTATAATTTGTGTTTTATTTTTTAATTGTACAGAATTATAAAATAAAACGCAAATTATAATTGGGCCTGTTTTAGGCTTTTTATTATTTTTATATTTTAGACATCCATCAATTATAGTGGAAAAAAAAATGACTCGCCATCTCATCGGATGTGCCTTTAGAGAGAAATGCATCTTTAGGGATTACATAATGAAATAGTTTCTATTTTCAATTTGAATTATTTTGTTTTAAAGTAGTAATTTAAAGCTTTCTATATATTTTTATCATGTCTGTGAGGCAATTCGCTGAGTTTAGGTTCATCATTGTGAAGCGCTCCTTTTAATCTTCTCATCTGCAACATCCGTAGGAATCCCCGTTATTACACCTCTGACCCAATTCTTTTCTTCTGGTATGGAACATTCAACTTTATTTCCAATTATCGATTTTATTCCTAGAGCCGTTTTTTGCTGCCTACTGTCACAGTCTTCAGCGGGTGTGCCCAGGAGGGCCACCAGATGACTGTGTTCGGTGAGCACATGGCTTGTGTTGTGTTGTATGTTGCCATGTGCTCTCTCCCGTCTATTGTCTTGCCCCTCCCATCTTGTTACCTCGTTATGTTTTAGTTGCTCCACCTGTGTCTCTCTCGTTAGCCTCATCGTTTGGTTCCTATTTATTCTCCTGGTGTCTGTCATCCTGTGCTGATCCGTCATTTTTCATTGTGTGTGTTTCGTGTCTGCATGTGTGCAGCTTTAGGCCTGCCTGTCTGTTTTTCCCCTTCGGGGTGGTTTGAGTTTGTTTTTGTTTCATTTTTATTAT